TGTTTTTTTTTTAACTGAATAAAGAGGGAACATTTTGAAATGTTTAATTATTCTACTCTGCATGGGTGTTATTTTGTAAAGACATTTTCATACGATTTTTGACCTATCACCAAGTCATGTCCAGCTACCATCTTTGTGCAGTTTATCAGAACATCTTCTCCAATTGTTATTTTCCTCTGATATATACTGTAATGCCACTTTTGAGAAACAGCTGCTAATTATTTCTAGCCAAGGCACCAAAACAGCTCCTTTTTTGGCCTAATTGAATGTTGGAATAAATAAGCCTAATTATGTATTATTTACACTTGAGACTAGAGCACTCTTTGAACAAATAATATGCATTTCATAATCTAAGGATGGAAAAAAAAAAGACCCTTACTCCGTACTGGGCAAAATTCTGACTGAGCTCAATGGGAATTTTGCAAAGGAAGCCAGTCATTGATCAATATAAAATATTTCTAAATTTTATTGTGAAGTCAGGGAAAAGCAAGTGATCACCAAAGAATGCAAGTTTGACAAGAATTTCTTAAACAACTGTTGTTTTTTTGCTGAAGAATTGTTAACCAAAAACTGGAGGGTAAGATTCTGACTCCATTGAAGTCCTGTCGGCTTCAGTGGAATCGGGATTTCCCCCATGTGTCAGCCCGATTCTTCTCTCACGCAGGTGTGAGACTTCCATTGATGTGACCGTTGTGTTAATTGTGAATTTCTCGGCTTTTTGTGGTTTGAGGAATGTTTCAGAATCACATCAAGTACCCGTTCTCTGCGTGCATCTCAGGGAGGGCGCCGAGGGGTGTGTGGGGGGTGGAATTAGTGAGATGATTAGTTAAAAGGACACTGCCTAGTTAAAAAGTACAGTGTTTCATGGAGCACCCTTTCTTTTCTTTCTTTCGTTCTTTCTTTCTATAACAAATCTTGAAATTATTAAAATTGAATTTAAAAAATATATTTCTCTTTCATGATCTAAGCCTTGTTGCCTTGTGCATGTCTCTCAGCAGATTTTAGTCCATTTTACTCGTGTTCGTGGTCTCGTTAGTTTTTCACCTTCACAATCCTTGTAGATTAATACAGCAATGCAATATTTGGGTTGCAGATATAAGAGAATGTTTTGTCTTTTCATTAGGTTGTTTTAAAATAATGAATCCATTTTTTACACAAAAAAAATCATTTTAAGCCATGTAATATTAAGCCATTGATCACATCTCGTTTCCACTTGCAAAAATCTTATAACTCTTCTCATCCTTAATACGTATTCCAAGCAAGGCCTTAATGGACTGAAATTATCCACTAGGAATTTATAATCCTCTTAATTCAATTAATGTATAAATATAACTTTTGCTATATTTTATCATTACAATAACATGTACTACTGCTTGATTTAAGGCTTAGTTCAATACAAGAAGAGTATTTCAGCCAGTGAGAACGGAGAGCTCCTGTGATATAATTTCCTAAAAAAACTATTACTATTTTGTAATAACTATTTTACTCTGTAACATTGCTTTTCAGAAACTTTGCATAATATACTAATATTGCAGCTTCCTGCATCACTTTTCTTATCACCTGTCCTCACCCATCATCACCCATCTGTGCTTTGTTTCCCACATCTTAAACCCTTCTCGCTGTTTAATGTGAGAGTATCTCCCATCCAACACTCTCACTCCTTAAGTAAATGATGTTCCAACTGAATACTGGGACTTTCTACTTGACGTCCTAAGTATATTTAATAAAATTAAGAGATTTGTTTTAGCACACAAGCTCAGTACAATAGGGCAGCATTAGCTGGTTGAACTCTAACCATTGTTTTTGCCTCTCTTCCCCGATAGGCACAAAACACCTACACTTGAACTGCCTTGTCTCTGTTCCCTCTCCACTTCACACCCGTACTTCTGTTTTTCAGAGGCAATTTTGAAAAGTCTTGTGAGTTGTTTGCTGAGGACAGGCACTAATGAAAACAGGCAAGACCTCTTTAGAAAGTGCCATTTAGTGTGGAGTGGATCATGGCGGGGGCTGAATGGGGGAGAAGATAGTAGTCCATTTACCAGCAACTTGTACTCTCCTTTTCAGTTACGCTGTAATCTCCCCTCACTTGTCAATTGGGAGTAATTCCACTGAAGTCAGTGAAGGCACACAGTAGTGTGAGAAAAGCAGATCCTCAGTGTCCATTTGGTACCAGACAACTCGCTGCACTTGGACACAAGGATCCGCAGTTCTCACCCTGAGATACTAACTTCTTTCATAGACCAGCTCAGCCCTGGGCACGTGATGCCTATGGCAAGTTGGGGGGTTTATTCTACAGTACTCAAGCAGACCTGATTACTTCCACGTGGCTGATTTCATCCTCATTTTGGAGCATTATTTAGCTATGGCTGTTCATACAGATAGAGTTGTGATTCTGTGAATCTGAAACAGTGGTATGACTGTGGCTAGAGCTCATGATAAATTATATGCAGTTAAAAATGGACCAGGGAGGAGATTTAGTGCCCGTCCGTCAATCATTGGTAACTGCGTGGTAGGCCCACTCTGTCCTTTGATAAGCAGAAATGAACTGTGACTATTAAGGAGTTTTTTCAATTTAGGAGTAAACTGATATAGGTCCTTGTACTGCAGGATGGAACGGACACACGGAACGTTTATTGCAGATCAGCTGACATGGGATAAACCCCAGCCATGGGTGCATCCAGAATCTTGAAAAGGGTGGTGCAGATAGTAAGATACATCATCACATATAAAACGGCACATCATTTTCTGCAGTTAAAAAATAAACTAGAAGCTTTACCAATACACTAAGAGACTCAGGCTGCATTGTTTAGTTTAAGCTTGAAGTAAAAGCAAATATAAATTCATCGGAATGAGTTAAAAACAATCAGCAGGGCTGTGAAATAGGAGCTCTGTTACCAGGAGCAGCCAACATGAAAAGGAGACCATTAAAAAGAAGAGAGGGTTGTTAACACTCATGGAATGAAGAGTTTAGAAGGGATCAGGTGGATTATAATAAGCCATGAAATAAGTGACTCCCTCGGCAGTGCCTGACTAGAAGTTCTGCTGCCACTGCCAGCAGTTGGTTTTTAACTTCGGGTGGAGCAGGAATCAACAGCATATGCAAGTGCACCAGTGTACCCCCCTCCTGGATCCATCCCTGGCCCCAGCCCCTTAAATTTGGTACAGTTAGTTCCTCTGGACCTTCAAAATCGCTTGAATTCTTCATATTCTTTCAAATGCAATTCAGCTGCCTAATAATTTGGTAACACATGAATTGAATGCAGAATTGCACATCTCAAAACAACCATGGAAGTGCAAGTTTAATTCAAAATGGACTGACTAGACAGGTGGGCACTATAGTTGTGGACGAAGTTGTTCTAAGCTGGGGGATGTGGAGCAGATAACGTCTCTCTGTAATTGGTGATGCTTGGTCACCAGCCAGGTAAGCTCAGAGCCTGTGAGAAGTGCCAGGACTGACTGTTGGGGTAGTGCATGCCGCTAGCTGTTAGGTGCTGATGCACGAGGAGTGAGGTCCTGGTTTCACTGAACTCAAATGGAGTTGTGCCAGTGGGCAAATGTATGGGTGAATTGGTGTGTATTTTTTTTCTCTTAGGTAACCTGTTTAAAAACCAATAACATAATGTAGCTGGTTTAATATTCCTTTGCATTTACAAAAGTACACCAATATAAAACTGACTGAAATTTGCTCCAACTTTAAACAGTTGCCCTTTGAAGTACTTTGCCGTTTTCCAAATGGCAGTCTGCATGTGTGTTTCCTGCCAAAATTGGCTCCTTAAATACAAAACGGTGTTTTTCTGGGAACTAGTAGTCTGCTTTTATATGCCTGAAAGCAGCACTTCTTAGTGGATTACTAATAGCACTAGCTGTCAGGAAGCTTACTGTAGTCTCTGCTCTGCCACTGACTTGCCTGGGAACCTTGTGGGAGTTGCTTAAAGGCCTGTTGCCTCAGTTTTCCCATCTGTGAAATGGGGCCCTACGTTGCAGACATTCCATGAAATTCAGATGTTCTGAAGATTAAATCAACATTTTCCTGAACTACCCGCTAATACTGTCGGTCAATGGAAACTAATGTTCCAGGTTCAGCAAGACTGATTGATGTTATGTGCTTGATCTGGGGCATCCAAAATTCGGGGTTGCTTTAGAAAGACATGGATTAAATCTTTGCAGCCTTTCATTTTAGTATCTCCTTTTGTGCTTCCATACATGACAGGGTGGCACTGCCATCACATTTGCAATGCTGCTGGCTACTTGTAACTAGTTTTCTAATCAAGACCTCCTCTGGCAGACCCACTGATATAGTTATCTTTCCATAAGATAACACTTCAATCTTAAACAAATTTTAGTTCAAACACGTTCTTTTTAGTTCCAGAGGTGGGGAGCTAGTCCCGTGCAAATGTATGGGAAAACGAAGCGGTTGAGCGTTCCCAGCTCTTGTTAACAGACCAGCCAAGAGTATCTGTTAAACATGCGGTGTTAGGCTGGACATCCTATTGATTTAATGACAGCTCTACCAACCAGTAATTGATTTTATGTGTTTATTATAATTTTTTCAGCAGGTTCCTTTAAGATTCGCCGAATTTGAAAGTCTGCACAATTAGAGATTATAGTGCCTATAGACATGCTATTTTCAAGAGCCTTTTAGAAGATGAGGATGTAATCGGATAGAAATCTGACCTCTGAATAGATAATCCTAGCTCTGACGGATTGTTACTCACCCATTGCATCCTCTCTAACAAAGTGATCAGATGTCACTGACATTGTACTCTGGACCGGCTCTTCAATGAGACATTGTTGCCTTTTATCTTTGAGGGAAATTGTGATAGAAAAGACTGCTTGGTCAGAAAGGAGCTGTAATTATGGTAATGTTTATTTCTCTTTGCCATTTCAAGGAAAACACCTAAAATGCACAAATCCAAGTAATGAGGGATGTATTTGGTAGCCATTTTGGTCTGAGACAAAAAGAATGAGTTCTAGATTTTCGCAAATCCGAGTAAGATGAATGTACTTTTTGGTTATAGAGTTCATCACATTTATAATGTTCAAGTCCTTATCCAAAGATTTTCTGATACACAGGCAGGATGTTGCTGCTGTCCATTAATAAAAGTAGCTAATTAAATTCGCAAATGTTATGCTACATATGGAGTAACATATTAGAAACTTGAAATGCTACATCCTCATTGCTGCAAAAAAACATAATTGCATTAGAGAGAGAGAGATGAGGGTATTTTAGACAGCTCAAAAGGCCACATTTCTGGAAATTGTAAAGACAAAAATATAATATCAGTAGGGATTTTATTAGCATTAAACTTTAAGGTATTTTGATCTTCCTGTTTGCTGTGTATATTTTCTTTAGCAATCAGGATCAGCAAATTTTTAATAAAGACAACCAAGGGGTTCAGCCTAAATTTGGCTGTTAGTTCATAATGAATTTGAGGTGCATTTGCAATAAATTGGATGGGAGCTATTCACAAACCAGTAAACCACAGTTCTGTAACAGGAACATACTGGGTATTTCTCATCAGCATTAAAATGCTCAGTGTGTTTTCGCACTCCTGATATTTTACTCCAGCAGTAAAAATAAAAATAAAAGTAAACTGACTGAAGCTTTTATAGTAGTAAGATCAGCTTCTTGGCTGGCCTTTTATGGGCCCACCTCTCCTCCTGGCTGCAGCAGCAGTAGGATTTCTTTTGATTTGAACAGGAGCAGAACTGCACTCTACATTTGTACTTCAAAATGGTTTATTTATTTATTTATTCATTTTAATAAACTTCTTTGCCGTGGGGTAAGATTACCCGAGAAAATGGATTTTCTTCAACAGGAAAATGTAATTAATGTATCTAAGATCTGATGTCTCTAATACACCTGTTAAGCTTTATATTGATTAATATTTCGGTGCAATCTTGGGCCTGTGTGTGTGTGTTTTTTTTGTTAGGTTATTCCCAAAGCATTCGTGAGAATATGTCTGACTTTGCTCTCCAGCAGAATTTGCAGATGGGAAGGCTGTGTGACATCCAAGGTACAGTCAGAGCAATCAGCTGCCTTCTTCTTTGCTGTTGTCTCTCATCCTTAAGTAAAGGAGAAATGCTGGGAAGGATTTCCTTGCTGTTGTGATCTTGAATTTAGAGAGCGTACATGCTCAATAGAGGCTTATGATAGTGGGTCAGTCTTTTGTGCCATTTGCTGCTTCTTGAGATGTTCTTAGGGGGAGCACATGGTTTCCTTTTGATTCTGCAGTGAAGTGAGACAATATGATCCTGCAGGGCGCTTGGGTAGTCTGCGGTGCGTAGCAGTCTGCACAATCAGGTTCATAATTCTGCAACTCTGCATTCAGAGTCGTGTTGGGAGGAGAAAAAAAAAAGAGATGCTGGAAATGACTAAGCCCTTATTTAAACCAGCTTTTTTAATTAGCAAATGAGGCAAGAAGCATGCATTAGAAAGTTTTCCCCAGCATGACAGTCCTCCTTTAAGCAAAGCAATGAAGAATATGAATTTGTCAATGCCCAACTTTGTTGGCTTCCTGGAATGACATCCTTTACATGATTCATATATATTTCAGTATCATTATTATTTCATAAATGCCATTTAGTAAGCTTGTAACAAAATGGTATTAGTTCCAGAAATTTACAGTAGCCTAAAATAATAATGTAATTGCCTTTATATATTATCTAGGCACTCGTATTGTTTTTTTCCACAGTGCAGTTTTTATTTTTCTGTAAAGATAGATTTGTTACATTTCAACTGTTAGAAAGTTTAAGGGACAACACCAGCCTTACACAAATGGTCACTACCGAATGAATCTAGTGACAGGAAGATTTCGTTGTGGCTAAAAAATTATTTACTGAAATTTAAAAGAAATCCACATATAAAGAGCTGTAATGATTATCATATGCAGTATGCTTAATTTATGCCAAATGGAGGGCAAAAATGTTTGCCACATTTGGTTTCCTGGTTTCTTTAGATTATCACGGTGATTCTATTATATATTAATACGATCGGATACTTCTAAAGTCTGTCTATGCAGCCCATCTCATGTCCAAAAGAGAACATGATAGCTGTCAGTAAGGTAGTACAAGCAGTAGTTAACTCAGCCTTGCAAAATCCTATTCGTTTGCGGGGGTAAGCTGACATGTTAGATCAAGATGATTAGCTCTTTCATCATCACAGCAAAGATGGGTGACTAGTGTCTGTGTCCAGGCTGGTCACTTTTCAGGGCATTTTTGCAAATCTAATTAAGTGACTGAATGTGAGATTGCATATCGACCAGAGATCAAACAGGCTCTTCCCCTCATCACAATTACTTTTCAAAATTCTGCGGTAATGAAATCTTCTTTATGTGGTTCTGCAGAGCTCAGTTTATAGGCCAGATTCTCAGCTGGCATAAATTGTTTTAATACCGCAGTTGAGATTTTGGCCTGTATTTATTTGGCAAGTTATTTTCCTGCAGTTGTGCACCAAATCAAAGAAACAAATGGAATTCCTTACTCTAAGTCATTTATAAAATTAGTTTCATACTTTCCTCTGTACTTCATTCCCCCTAGCTTTTAATTGCTGCCCACCCTTTTGCAGGTAGTAATAATTTGTCATTGGCCCTTTCAGGGCTTTCACTCCAAAGCCAAGTGAAGAGAATGGAAGGATTTGCATTGACTTCAGTAGGAATTGGTAGGACCCCTAGTAGTGCTTTTTGCATTTGAAAACCCCAAAGTGCCTTGTCAGGCTCAAATTCCACTGATGTCACAAACTCATCAGTGTTTAACGTTAACGTTCTGCAGAAACGCACTGATTCCCATTTTCCATGGTAGGATTACCAGAGTCTGACGCTCTTACACATCTAATTGTTTACACACGCAGTCTCTCAGCCCAAGCCGTTTCACATGCGAGACCCCAGATTTTCACGCTGGGGTTTTTAGCTAGCCAATCTGCATGCACACATGCTCTGCAGCAGTCATTAATGACATCCTACGGTGAGCTTTTATGTGGACAGGACAAGGATAAGAACAGGCCGTGCCGAATCCAGGCAGAGTATGAAATTGCAATTTCATCAGCTTTCTAAAGTTAATAGCTCAGTTTTATAATTTGCAGAAGTTAATGGGATACATTTTTAAAGCAGTGCGCAATTCCCATTGATGGTAATAAGAGTCGCGCAGCTAAATCCCCTTGTAACGCTTTGAAAATTCTGCCCCCGATGTGTTCTGCAGATTGAATTCTGGAAACTAGCTATTTCTTTGCACTGCTGACCTGTCTTTGGAGAAATGCTGAAGCACAGAAAATGCAGTTAAACCAGTAAGGTTTGGGAATTACAAATCTCATTTTATTTCCTGCATGCTTTTAGTTGTTTGTTAGCAAATGGTCAGGAATTGTCAGAGAACCAGCTCACGACGGAGTTTACCTTGCTTGTGAAAATGAACACTGTGCCCCTTTGTTTTAGATGCCAACGTGGACGTCATCTACATCTGCCCCCTTCATCTGAGTGAGGAGTTACTGCAGTATTACAATAAACTCCTGGGTCTGCAGGCAGCTGTTAGATCTGGGAACCCTGAGGACATGGGTGACCTGCAGGACAGGTTCAAAATTCTCACCCCTGAAGCTATAAACAGCTTCCCTGTGAGTTTGTCTTCTAATTACTACAGCTTGAGGGATGCAGTAAAATTAAATTGGAAATTTTATAACTTGTAACGGTCTGGTACACATCAGTGAAATATTATTGCAAGTTTAAGAGCTTTACTGATTAGACTACTAGTTAGACCATTGGAAATAAATATCCCAGTTTAGCTTTATAGTCGTAGTTGAGGTACCCCAATTGTCTGAAGCCCACTATCCAGCTTCTGTTTGTCTGGGACTGGGAACTTGATAGATTTATAACTCTGAGCAAAACGTAACAATAAAAGTATTTCTGTTACTCAAAATTTACCTCCTTACAGCTGAAGAACCCTTTATCCATTCATGCATGCATTCATTCATGCATTCATTCATACGATGTTTACTGCAATTAAATCCAATTCATAGCCTTTTTTAAAGAATGGCCCCTTAAAAGTGTTTGTAAGATTTTGTTTACTTTGGTTAAGTCCTGTCAAGCCAGTTTGATAACCAGGTATTGAATATCAACAGATCCAAAGCACTAGTGCTCTAAATCCAGTGTTTCTGAAATACTGCAATACAGTTAAGTTTATATATGGCATGGGGGCATATTATACTGTAAATCTTAAGTCCGTAGCAGGTGACCTGCTATTTGACATGTGTGAAACATGATGATCTTTGCTAGATTTTATACATTAAGTCTATACTCAAAGCCCCTGCTCTAGTTTTTTTGGAAAAAGAAATATCCATCTCTCTAGGTGTTCTTTTTCATATAGTAATTTGTTGCATAATTTCTCTGAAAACAACTCATTCAAAGGGCAAAGAAGCCATTTATATTTGTTGTATGTAAGATGACAATTTTATGTTTTGTTACTGCCCTGTGCAAATGTATTCTCTCTCCAATTTACCCCATTCTAGGTCTCAATTCAGCAAAGCCTTTAGGCATGTTTGGAGCCACTTCCGTTCAGCAAAACACCTTTGTATATGTGCATAACTTTAAGCACATGTTTCAGTGCTGTGCTGAATAAGGAGGGATTGCTGAATGGGGACCATGACCACGTGTAGACGAAATGAGGGGCATGTGTGCACGGCACTTTAAAGCAGGTTAAATGCTTTTGCATCGCTTTAATGGCGTTGGTGTTTGCACACGTTGGTGGCATACTGCGCATTCATTTTAGCCGCTGTAGCAAATTCGGTGGCATAATGCACCTTAAATGACTTGGGGCACAGCAAACTAAAACTCCGAGGAGGAGTTTTAGTTTGCTGCCCTACGGCCACGGAGCGAAGCCTCGGGCTCCGTGCAGCTCAGGGGCTCTGCAGGAAGGCTGTGCAGGCTGCCTGGCAGCAGCCCGGGAAGGCAGGCTCCACCCAAGATCTTTTTTTTTTTCCCCTGGAGCCTGCCTGTCTGCCTGAGCTGGGCGGGGGCCGGGTGCTTCCCTCCACAGCTGCGGTGCCCCCCAGGACCACCCAAGCTGAATGCCTGTGGGCAAGTGCTGCCTGGGGGGGGGCGCGGGGGGACTGCCACTGCCATGGCACCAACCCCACTCTGCAGCCCAGGGACCACTCCGCCTGCTGGCAGCTTGCCCTCCCCTTCCCACTGCCGGAGAGGCAGGTAAGTTCAGGTTTGTGCATGACACAGGGGTTTAAAGGGCCCTAAGTTGACGTGGTGTTTTTAAAAACCCACCACTTCAATTTAGGGCCCCCATTTTGTCTACACACACCCCATAGTAGCATGTGCCACTTCTCTTATAGTTAAGAGCGATTCATACAGGTTTGTCTGGGGGGTTTTTTCTCTGAAGTTAGAAAGAAGCAAGATGATACCTCTCAGGTTTAGCTGCTCTTGCTCCCCTTCACCTCAGATCTTGTGGGTAAACTCATTGCGATTTAAACTTTGCAGACCATAAAAGCAGATCCCCAGCCTCAGTCTCTGCCAAAATGATACGGTGCATGGGAACAACTTTCAGAGGCTTTAAAGTAAACAATGCAAAATAGCTCTAAATAGCTCCATTTTATAGGCTGACACCCTACAAATGAGACCACATGGAAAGCTCTGACATGATGAATGTCAAATACTTTAAATTATTAATGTTTTCAAGGGGCTATATCTGCAGCATTTCAAAGAGGCATTGGTGAACATAGCTGTATTGTATCTGAGCACAAGGCACTATTGCAAACCAGTTATTTTTTGGTTAAAGGGCTTCAGCAAGAACTGGGCTGATCATCTTCTGACTTGTAGCCAGGCCGCTTCTTAAATAAAGCCGTTTTTCCTGTTTGTTCTTTAAAAAGACTCCAAACAAAAGCTGCTTTTAAGCCAAAAAAGGTGATGAGCAGAGAAGTGTGAAATCCACTGGGAACCATGTTGTGCAGCTTTAATTCACCTGGGAAATATATGATAGAAATGCATATACTTGAAGGCCACAGCCATTGGCGAGGGTTACCTGGTTCCTTCGTGGACTTGCACGGCCCTCTTCACTTTGCTATTGAACGTTCAAGCTACTAGTCCAACAGGACAGTCTATAAATGCAGTTGCTGTATTGCATTTGATGTACCCTGAGCTCCTACTTCCCTAGGAAAAATGTGCTCCGCAAAGTTTTATGAACACAAGGTAGAATCCCAAAGCAGACAAAGGGAGGTGTAGCTAGCACATCAAGCTTTCAAACTGCCTTGTTTCCACTGGGCTGTTGTGTTATTTACCCCATGTTGCTAATATGTAGTAGAAATTTATCATTTTTTGTCAGCGTCTTCCAAGAAAATGGGCATTCCTTACTGAGGCACAATGCCCATTGGCTTCCAAGGCTGTGAGTTTGCATGCTAGCCTGTTTCAGGTGCCCTGGATTAGGCCTTTACGCATTTGTTCTAAGCCTCTTCCCTTTGGTTCCTCTTGTGATGAAGTCTTGTCTCAGGGCCTCTGCTTGGGGGCAAGCCTTCAGCTTCCCCTCAGCCATCCTGAGCCACACGAGCTGCATCTCCTGGTCCACACTGCCTTGCTGTGGTGGCCTGCAGGATGCATAGGAGAGGCAGGGATTGTGCAGACTGATTCCAGACAGAAATGCATTACGAAAATCAAACAGAGCGCGCCTGTGCTCTAACAGCAGGAGGGCCAGCATTTGACTTCCTGGGTTGCTCCTGCAGCACTCAGGTGAGTAGTGCACATGTTTCTGGGAGGGCAGTGCAGGGGGCAAGGGCAGGAGGCAGTGTTGCAGGGCCTAGTGCCCTGGATCGCTTCCAGGGAACGAGGGCCTGTTCCAGGGGGAAGAGGCCACACTGGAGTTTGCACATCCACTTTAAAATGATTTGGTGCCAAACGGCTGGCCTGAGAATGGTGTTAGGTAGCAGTGTCGATATACCTTCATGATACTTGATTGTGCCTTGAACCTGGATTGTACCTGGTATTTTCTGGTATCACAAAATATCAGCATATGGATGGAAATTTAGGATACATCTGTCTTGGTATGTAGGGCAGAGCCTGTAGGTGCCCTCATCCAGCCTGGGCCAGGTATTTTACTTGTGGTCTGCACCACAGCTATCTACATTATGCTTCCTGTTCCAGGTGGAGAGCCCTTCGAGGAATCAGTCTGCACATTGCTCGTCTCTCCTGTCGTGCTCGGCTCCAAATCCGGGCAGTAAAGACAGGACGTGGGATGCTGATGGACTAGAAGTCGAGAACAGGAAATTGTGAATCTGCTAGTGAATTTATAAGGGCTGTGGCCTGCCACCAGTGCATGAGCACCAACACACTTCAGGGAGAGGCAGGCTGGGCCTGTATGTTAGCAGAATATCTTGGGCTGGGTTGGACTGCAGCAGGAGTCGAGCTCAGACCTTTTCCGTGCAGACAGCTGGTGGGTGTGAGCTTGAGATCAGCCATAAGGTCAACCCTACGGGACCAGATCCCAGTTGTTTGGTAAGGCTACTTGGCTCTGTACCCACAGCACAAACCAGCCTTAATGCCAGTTTTAACCACCTGCCTGGGGAAATCAGGTTCAGAGGAAGTCCTGAGGTGGCACAGTCTGGCACAGGCAGTGCTATGCCATGCTGTGTCCCAAATTTCTGTTATGGGCAGGTAAAGGGGGATGGGATTCACACACTCATGCGGTTAGTCAGTCTCTGGCTCTTGGACTGGCCCCTTGGAGGTTATGAAGCCAGATGAAGCTCTGAATTGTGCTGGTTCTCAGCTGGCGTCAAATTCAGGGGAGTATGGTAGGAGGAACTTTTAACTGCCCTTGTGCATCTCAGAGGCAGGTGCCAAGCTGAGTTTGTCCAGCCCAAGGGCCTGGCCTTTGGCACCTTGAAGCAAGTTACCAAATGTGATGATACAAGAAGTGGCTTTTCCCTTAGCCCAGAGAAACTCAGGGACTACATTAGCAATGGGGGGTTAACCAAAGAGTTACAACAACTTATACACCCTTGGGTGACTTGTGGCAAACATGCTCCGGTGCCAAAGAAAAGCCCTACGGCACAGTAGCTAACATGGCTAAAGACAGACGCTGTGTACGCTGCATTGCTCTCGGCTGCAGGAATGACGGGGCCAGTAACGTTTTGTGCAAGGAGCCACAGGTGACAAGTTGAGTCGCTTGTGGCTTGAGAGCTGCAGCCTGGGCCACGTCCTCAGCCTACTAATCCCTATGCCATGGACTGCCCTGTTGGGATCATGAGGATTCCCCGCCTTCCCCTGCTTTTGCACTCTCTCCCCCTCCACGCTGCGCATCGGTAACTGCACCGCTGTCTGAGCAGGGATGAACTAGATTTTACACCCTGTTTCCTGCACATCTTAATTAACTCTAGAATCCATTATGGAGAGAGACAAAGCAGATCTCGTCCCTGCATCACCACTTCTGGCCCAGGAGAGCGAGTGACCGGGACTGAAAATCGAGCCCATCTCCCCTGCAGGGTAGAGCTTTGTGCTGCCAGGAGACCATGAGATGGCCCCTGTGTCTTCAATTCATGCCAAGGCTTAGGAGAGAAGCATAGCTTGCTGGGGCTCAGAGGATCACCCACTTTCCCTGGTTTCTATCCCTCATTTCTCCCTAAAGGCACCACTGTGTGGAGCACTGCACTATTCCCTTGGGATAAAGAAGTAATTGTGGAGCAACCCGAAGGGCTTCAGGGAAGGAGCAGGGCCACTTCCATCATGCTCCCTGCGTCAGACCAAGATTTATGCTTTGGGATGTGAGGTACAGGGAGGCAGAACTTGGCAGGAAAAGTCTTCAAGGTCCTAGCTGCAAAAACACTTAAGCAGGCAGTCATGCCGATCCGTATTCAGGACTATGCTTGAGCAGTAAATCAGTTGTCTCCAAGTAAAGAAAACTGTTGCTTGTAGGAAGCTTACTTCGGTGTCTTTATGTAACAATCACTGACTCGATAAAGGAGCATTGGACTCTTCTATGCGTGGCATCCTTCTCTCTCTCGCTCTTGAAATACACCTTGAAAGCCACAGAAGAGTACCTGATACGCAGAGTGATCTGCAACTGATGCATGGGTTTGGTGTAGTGAATAGTTCAGAGACTCAGCCATTCGTGATGGCTGTTCTTACTTTAATTTTAAAGGGCATGATGTCTTTTCTGAATGGCTTGTCCTGAGAGAGACATTTGCTTTGGAAAAACAAATGGAAAATTCCTATTGAAAAGCTGAAACCTCTTAGCCTTAAAAAATGCTATCTGACTCAAGTACTCTGCACTCAAGTTTACTGTAGCTATAAGAACTACTGTATAATGGAAATGTATATCCCCTATAATTTAATGTGATCAGTGATAGGTTTTGTAAATCAAAGTGTTTTATTCTCAAAGAATCACTTAAAATGCTGCTGCGCTGTATGGTGAAATATATTCCCTGCTATAGGGGTTTTTCTTCATTTTTTGTATTGATTTCTAGACGCTTTAGAGTTAAACCACGCCAGAAGTGTTGCTGAGATGAATCACTATTATCCAAAGGCCACCAGCCTCTCTGCCGACTGACAGAAGGATAATTCCATGTGGATCAAATAAATACAGATGTGTAGTAATTAGTTCTATTCCCAGTGAGCCCATTTCCAACACACTAAAGATGTGAACGATTATGGAGCCTCACCCCAACAGCTTTTATCAATTTAAACTGCTAAGCTACAGGATAGGTCATAACCCAGCCTGCTATTAATAATGTATTTATTGTGTGCAACATTATAAATTAGGTTCATGGAAGAGAAAAGAACACTTTTTAACAAGACTAATGCTATCTTTATACAGAACCATCCCATGTGCTTGGCCACTCAGCTGAAGTACAGTCCCAAGACGATCAAAAGAATAAAAAATCTTATCCAGGGCAAGGAAGCCTACGTGATTGGAGGGGTTCCCCACAAAGATGATTTAGCGGTGGCTGACATGTTAAATGTGCCCATACTGGGCTCTGTGCCAGAAGTGGCTCATCTCTATAGCACCAAGTCCGGAAGTAAAAGAATTTTTGCCAGTGCTTGTGTGCCAGTTCCCCCCGGAGAATATGACATCTATACCCCTCAGCAGGTAAGCAGGCAGTCTTTGGGGGGACACCTTTGCATTTCAGCACCTAGACCATTACTGCAGTGAGGTGGGGTACACATTTTGCTCTCTTATGTAGATCAAGTATCTTTCATTGAATTAATTAGACCCTAAATGGGTTGGAGTAAATGGAAGTACGTGGGGCCAGGGAGAGGGGTTCTTTTTTTCTGCAAGTATCTTATTTAAAATGAGTACTGTCTTGAGAAAGAGGGATTAAGCAAAATACATGATCTCCCTCGAGGGCTCGCACCGTGTTCTGGTATCTGCTTCTTACAGATAGCCATCATCACTACCCCATGACGGGAACCCTGATCCCACCAAAATTAGTGGAAATTTTGCCTGTGACTTAGATGAAGCAAAGACTTCATCTCGGCACTAGGAAGCAATGCTCACAGAGCCCCATCTGCTAAAATACTTGCCACTCAGTAAAACAAAAACATTGATGTCCAGAGAAATTCCACCCATTTTGGAAAAATGGCTTGTCCAGGCTGAGAGCTGCTACCTGAATTTTGCCCTCTATTTAGCATGTTAATTCAATTTTCATTTCACTGACCCTAGTGCCATGACAATAAGCCCAAATGGTGCTAACCTCCGTTAATCAATCATCACTGTAATGGGTGCCTTTAACGGAAGCAATGAGGACCCTGGATTTTGCATTACACGTTCGCCTGGATTTATTTCTGATCCGCTGGCAGAAAGCTGCATTCTGCAGAGTGACTTCATGGTTTAGGTTATCTTGCCATTGTGGTGCTACAAGCTGTGCAGTGATTGCTGTACCAGCGGATCTTGCATTCATTACATTCAGTTCTCTCCTGTCTCAGAGTAGGTCGCATGCTCTTCCAGACAGAAATGGCCTCTTATGCTGCACTTGTTCAGCAACTTGCGCAGCCCTTGAGTTGGATCTCTAGGGGATCCCAAATACAAAGAATGATTGCATTTCATGTGCTAAAAAGAAATGTCTGCCAGCACAAAGTAATTTGAGAGTGGGCTTTGGAGACTCCTTCCCAAATGCTGCCTAGCTGGGATGTGCTTGGTCAAGAGTGCAGTGGCTTCACTTGTGCTTAAAACCCTGTTCTTCTCACTAAGCCCCTTTCATCCTCTCGCTCCTGTGCCTGTGCTCTGGGATCCTGTCTGCAGTTGCCTCTGATGGGCCTCACCTTGGAGCTAAGGGTGTAGCTTGTGCTCCTTTCAGCGGCTTGCTCCATCTCCATTCTGCGCATCTGCCCAGTGCCTGATCTTCCCAGTCACCATGTTTTGGCTTCTCTGCTGTGAGCCCAGGCATGGAACAACTTCCGAGCCTTCGCTGACTGCTGCACAAAGGAAATCCAGGATAGCTCCCCTCTCTGTGCAGGTGTCCAGGAGATGTGAGGCCAAGGCACGGGGGGCAGAGGTGAGGCCCGTGAAAGCATTACGTTTTTGCCCCATTTGTGCAGCCCTGTTGGAGCACTCTTTCCAGTGTAAAGGAGCTGGGTGCTTTGCTTTGCAGAGGTGGCTTTCAGTCCCCTTGTCCCTGCTCAAGGTAGCACTAATTCTCTCAAGTTTTCTCTCATGTCCTTGCAAACAATAACTGAAATGATGGTGACTAAATGTGATGAGGCACTGATTTTGGGCACCTCCTCTACAGCCTCAGGGACTAGGCAGGGAGGTTTTGAGAGTGCAGCTTTGGACTAGGCACCTAAACTCCACCGCAGCCCTATGTTAAGCGTCTGAGCCCTTTTGTTTGTGGATCTTTGAAACCACAGCATGACATCCTAAGAGACAGGATTGTTTTGAGGATTCTGCCCCTGGAAGGCAGCGCTTGGCCTGCTTCCCCCGCTTTCCCAGGGCTCAAACAACAGGTCAACAGATTTAAGCACGTGCATCTCTGAGCAAAAGATGAAAACAGGTCTTTTGCAAGAGAAAGTGGTGTGCAACGACAGAAACTCAGCAGGAAACCTAACCAGTAGAGAAGCACGAGGACCTATTTGTGACTTTCAAATTAACTAGATTCCATCAGCAGTATGGGAGCCTCCGACTCTTTCATAGGGTTTTCTTGCCTTTGACTCCACGTGCTCACTTCAGCAGCATTGTTGTCCTTTCTTTTTTGACGGGATTTGGATCTGTTCTGGGGTAGCTTTTAGTTGCTTGTTGGATCCCGGAAGTAGATGCAGCATTTTTTCAAGAGAATCCTTTTGCTTATGCTGTGGTTTTGAAATCCATCCAGCTGGTAGGATAAGCATGTCCTATTTGTAGAAGACAATAATCAATAGCTTTTTGCTTTTTACTAATATAGCTTGTAAACCTAAGGATAGTGAGAATGTGATTATTCTTAGGCATTTTTGCTGGTTAGCAGAAGTCCTTTTACATCTCGTGTCTTTTTATTAATCACCGTTTACCAGTCAAACGCACGCAGCCAAATAAAGACATTGCAATGTCCATACCAGAGATAAAATAAACAGACATATGACCAATGATCTGAAAAATAATGGTGTGTTTGATTTATTATTAAATAATTCATTTATAAAAATCTCATACCCCTAACCCATACTTCTGATCTATGCTGCAATTTTTCCCAAGTTCTCCTTTTGCTGTTTGCTTCTATGAAATATTGACATCTTAGGTTAAATAATCAAAGAAAGGTGACACTATGTTAAAGCACAGTTCAATTTTCACTTAAAGATAGCACATAATTCTTTCCATTGGTACAGTCTTTACAATATTATTGATCCTTTTCATTACTGTAGGGGAGTCATCAACAGAAACCCATTTATAGGTTTTCAAAAGCAACAAATAATAGGATTTGGAGCAAACAGATAATAATTCTATTTGTGGTCGAAGACCAAAAAAAAAAAATATAACAAGGAGACCAAAAAAAATTACCACGTGAAAAAACCTCCTAGTCAATGCTGCAGAAGATCTATATAATGCTGTTACAGGGTCCAATGGCATTTACAGTTTCTAAACGGCTAATTATATTGTACTCCACCTCGCTAAAGGGTAGTTTAAAAATAAAGCCATTTAAATCTGGGTATGAATATAGATAAATAATCAGCAGTACTTTTATAAAGCCAGTCTGGTAATTCCTTCATAAATTCATAACCCTGTGATACACTGTCCAGAAGGACAGTGTTGTCTGTTTTGACTGGTATTAAAAACTGATTGTAGCAAGGTTGTTTTTAAGATGTCAAAAATACTCTTGCTCTGGCACCTTTCATTTTTATCTTTGTGCCACTGCTTGATCCATAGATGCTTGATGTTCTGAGTCAGCTGGTCATCGATAACATGGAAGTACGACGCTGGCTGTTTAAAGTGGACAGTGAACTTGGCGGAAATGGTACCGCCTATTGTGATGTTACCTCCCACCTGAAATGCTACCCCTGGGTCCAGAAGGAGCGTCGTAGATGCACTGCTGAGGTGTGGGCCAAGAAATGGGCGCACGTAAGTTATTGAGACGTTGGGAATCTGATCTTTGATGGCAGGTTTGCATTGTTTAAGGTTCGCTGCGTCTGTAGGCAGGGCACAAAAGGCAGCATGCTGCAGGGCGGCACTGGGATTTTTGCTCCCGGGGGGAAAGCTGTGTTCACAGTAGCACCCAGAGGAGTCCTGCAGGCAGGGGCTAAGGCAGGATTTGCTCGATCTGTCTGCCCCCAACCCCTGTGCACAGGCCCATGTCCAGAACTCGGCCTCTGGCTTGCAGTGGCTGCGTAGAGAACTGCTTTGTCGCACAGCAAACTCTTCACCTGGAGCTCCCGTGCTGAAGCTTATGCTGGTGGGAGATGGCATTGTAAAATCTAGTGTGGTAAATTCAGATGCTTTCTGGCTTTGATTTAAAGGAAAAAGCAAGTGAAATGCATGGACAGTAGGAACGAATGTATAACTAACTACAATGATGTGGGTGTCGTGTAGAGGAAAGGGTGTATTTCATAATACCTGGCTCTTTCCATCCATGGATTTCAGAACACCTTCCCAAGGACGTCAGTCCTGAGCCCGTTTTACAGAGAAGGAGCTGAGGCAATGACCCAGCAGTGTGGAGAGTTAAGCCAAACAGTACTATTTATGTACATCATTTATAAATAAGGTTTCCTAAGTCCTTATGAGTGAAGAGCCGGCCTTCTTATTGCCTGAGTGTCACACAACCCTTGTAAAGCTTCTCTAGCTGGACAGTTACTAGGCTCCTATATTTGGGTCCCAACATTCACGACTCGTGTGCTCTTAAGCCTTCCTGGGCCCTCCATGCACACTCCTGCATGCACAGGCGCTCTCTTCCTTACTGGTTCATGTTTCCCTTGTGGCCCAGTGCTCCCCCCTCAACACCCCAGTTGTTCGATCAGAGCCGTTCGCAGCTGGACCTTTGTGGGCACTCGGCGTTTACAGTTTGTCTCTCCAGGGACATGCGAAAGCTCAAGCGAAGAGATAACCAGGCGTTAGTAGTGTTCCAAAAATCAATAGCTCTTCACTTTATCCAGCTCCAGGAAATACACAGCTGTAGACAAACTGCAAGTGCCTGCAAGCTTTCCTCTGCCTCATTTTCTGCACCCTTCTCTCATGGCCTTTGAGCTTAGGGCAAAATGATCGAAGGAATCCAGGAAGCCCTCCTGCCCCGGGCTTTCCTGCACATTACAAATTACCTCCTTCTGTCTCCTCTTCCCGTTAAGCCAGGTTTTTAATTCCTCAACTGATCCTGTGACCAGCTGGATCCCTTTGACACAAAAGCCTGCCTTTCTGTTCTTTTCCTCAATCCAAGCCACGTGCACATCTCCGTGGCATGATGCAGTGCCCTGCAGAGAGAGCTGAGCTAGCACTGAACCAGCAAACTTGGCTACCAGAAGTACTTGAGTGCTACAGCCACTTTCACACAGCTTTCTGCCAAACCTGCTTCCCCTGGCTGAGAAGTGGGGTGTACCGGTCAAGATGGAGCACTGTGCTAATACTGCTTCGGGAACCCAAGCAAGATCGCTCAGAACTAGCTTGGGAGTCTCAGCATGGCTGTAACTGGTGTACTCATGAGTTCCCTCTAGTTTCTGCTCTCTTGTTGGGGGTCATCCCACTATCCCAGCCCTCTTTCTTCAGACAGCTTGGCTTTACCTAGACTTCCACCATCCCATTCTTCTGCCACTTGTATGGCATCATCCTCATTGGCAAAACTGCTGGGTGGCAAAACTGCTCCAGCTTTAACCCTGGATGAAGCAGTGTTAAAGTTGGAGTGGTTTTGCTATCTTTGTTTTGTTCTCAGATTGTCCTCAAGTAACAATGAGAACATAACAGCTGCTGCCCTTTTGAAACAGCTCCCAATGTACGTGTGTCCACACACAAAGTGATGCGATTGTTACAGCCATGCAGTATTCCCCTCTGTGCCTGCTGGTCTGCATAGAGATGTGTTCTTTACAAATTGCTGAACTGAAATCCTTGAACTAGGTTCATCAGTTTGAATTGGCATATTTTTATTTAAATAACTGTTGCTATTTGTGTGTTTAATTTCAAGAAGGGTTGGATAGTTAAGTGCAGGTTGGCAAATGCATTCTTAATGCATGTCCATTAAAGTCGGGAGAGTTTCATCAGGAAAGAATTTGGCCCTACATCCTAGTTTACATCAATAATGGCCTTTTTTTAATTCAATTGCAGATAGCTGGAAAGTTTTTTCAGCATGTTATTGGATGGTATATTGTTATTGCAAATTGTGCACCATAATCTGAAGCTTTCCACAGACATTAAGGGCTAAATCCCCACTCTGCTGAGACTCACTTGCTCTGCAAAAGCATGAGAAGTATAAAGCAGACCTAAAAGGTGGCCACTGGAGAATACTCCTGTCATAAGACGTACCTCTGGTGGGCAGGGGTATGAGCAACTCAGTTCTACTACATCCAGTCCTCTCCTGGTATAAATTCCTTTGGGGTTGCATGCCATTCAGTGAAGGAGATGCTCCCTTTTGCTTTGCCTCACCTCTGATCCAGGTGGTTTGGGAACAGGGAGTTGTAACGGGTTTGTCCCTTTTCATTGCATTTAAGCAGAGTTTGAACGTAGCCAAGAAACACCCTTTAAAAGCCCCTAAAGTGAAATATAAATGTTTACCGAAGGTTAGAAAATATATATAAGGTATATATTTTGATAAAATGCCTTACAAGCCTGTCAGACTACACCCAGGCCAGAATTTCAGCAAACTTCGGTGAAAGAACTAAACAGGCTGACCATCGTCCACAGGAACACGTTCACGTGTTTCTGCCTTCTGAGTTGAGCCCTTTTTTTTGTAAGAGAAGAGACCTTTTTTATATGTAATGAATTGCAATCTCTATTGAAAAGCAGAGAATTAAAATTGTCCTTTGTTACCCAATCCCATTGTAATGATACACATTTAAACATCACAGCATTAGTTTATGAGCACAGGCATGTTTTAATGTCCTATTACAGTATGAAGACCTGTTTCTTTTGATAATGAAGACATTGTGTCATTGGCATAGGCTGCCACATACAAAACATATGCTGGCAGGTTATTAAAAAATTCAGCTTCTTGATGAAAGACTATCCTGCAGGCTAAGAGTACAGAAAAAAAGACTCTCCGTTCTGGTGGAATTATTAGAAACGAGAATATGACTGTAAGCACTAAATTATGTTAATACTTACAAATAGCATCATTTGCATAGCAGTTTATGACACGATACCCAGACTTTTCTCATTGGTATGTAGTAGGCAACAGATTAAAAATAATGCAGTTTATGTGAGTTTGAACTGTGTGCGGATCTGTTCCATTGAAAACTGAGGGGGATTTGGGACTCTTCATTTCAAGCATAATGCTGGGAAACAAAAAATGAAAACCCGTGACAAGATCATCAATTGAAGGATGGGAGGGTCTGCATTATCAGAGGGGTCACTTGGTGTCCTCATCAGAACAAAGTGCGTGGCATGTCTCTGCCAGTTCCTCTTTGTTATGAAATATCCCTCCAGCTCCAGCAAAGGCCCAGGGCAAGGAACATTGTATGGGAATACACCGCTACTGCTCCACGTGCTATAGCTGTGATGAAGCTGCCTCTGTGCAACGCTGGGCGTTCTCCAAGAAGCTCTTCCGAAGGAGCAAGCGTATTGACCTGCTTGCAGCCCTGCACTGCAGAAGCAGCATTTCATCTGCGTTGGGATATATATGGTATGTGGGGAGCAGGCATGGCTTGCTTCACTGAGGGACACTTGAGCCACATTGCACCTCCTTCGTTGGTGTAGGCATCCGAACACTCTCAGATAGTTTTGAGACTCTTGCTTATATTTATTATTGAACCTATCATCGGGAAGGGCCTTCTGGGTCACAGAGTCCAGTCCCCTGCATTTGCAGGCAGTCATTTATTTATCCAAGGAATTCCCAGATCACCACTTCAGGCTCTGAAGTCACACCAAGAACATCTTGTACCATGCCAGAAGTAAAAGCAGGGGAGACCACTGCCAATGCCCTGCTAGTGCAGTGATGAGGGGAGTATTTACTTAGCATAGCTCAGAAGATCCTAGGAAACCCACCATGACCCTCACTACTGGGAAGAGCAAAAGCTCTGAAGTCAGTGCCAGTCTGGCATAGGGGAAGAGTTTCTTCCTGACACTGAATGTGGTGATTTGGTATGAACCTGAACAAAAAAGCAAGACCCTCTGGGTTTCCAGTAGTGGTAGGCACATTGGGGTACCCCAGTCAAAAGCCTCCAGTCCTAGCTGTGGCGAATGTCCTAGTGCTTCTGGTAAAAGACCTAATATTCATGGGGGGAAAAATTATTTCCCAGTCCCAAGTAATAACCAGCAAAAGCATGGGATTGCCAGGCAGCTTCCATGCCAGAAGGAGTTTCCTTTCCTGTAAAGGGATTTAAAAAAAAAAATCACCATCCTTGAATCAGCATCTTCTATCTTAGTTACTTTTTTGATCAACAGGACAGTGAGCCTTTCAGTGCTTGCAAACAAAACTTGGTTGCTCTTTAAGTCCTAACATTTTCCCCTGATTTGAAATTCACCTCCTCTGCTGCTCCTGCTGTTACAGAGGCACCCTAGTAACCCCATAGCTAAGTTGACACCCGTTTTAAATTTAAAGTAGGTTTTAAATCCCCAGGAAATGAACACATCCCAAAACCGGCAATGTCCTGTGTAATCTGGTGACTAGCATCAGTATTGCTATTTTCTGAACACTTTAAAATTAGTTCTTTGTCAAATTTCCATCTGGAGGTCTAGATTTTATGACTGACTTCACATGTTTGCAAGTGTTCGATGCGACGTGCAACATCCCTAACAAGCAAAACCAGTTATTCGTATTCCTCCTAATGCTTTTTTTTTTCCACCGTGGAAGCTGGTGGAGAAGGCACCTCCAGCGTGGGCTTCCTGCCGTGAAAAGAAGAGACAGGTGTTTGAGCTCCAAGGACCGGAGGTGGCACCAGGAAGGAGCGCTTAGAGCGGTTCATAGCACAGGGAAATGTTAGCGT